GGCGCCTGAGAGAGCGGAATTGAATGAAAAGCGAATCTCAGAAGACAAGCGTCAGAGGGACAAGAATGCGCGCTACAACGATACGTAATTGAATTTATTGCCCTTCTATCGAGCCATAATTCTCGATTACGGGGCTTTTATTGTACGTTGCGTTTATTCTATCTCTCGTCGAAAGAGTGTGCGCGCTATCGCTTTGAACGTCCGAATGGTATCTGCGCGCTTATTGCCGGAGAGTATTGCGTTTCAGAGTGACGCGCTATCATAAACAAGCTATTTTTAGGGATCAGAGAGTTGCTACGCATCTCGCAAGACGAAGTTAGAGCCTCTTTTGATTGACACATACAAAATTACGTACATAAATTTCAATTTCAATTTCAAGTACATAAATTTTCAAATTAGTATTACCATCTGTGCGACACGATATTCGACGAATTTGCAGGAAACTCGCGCGGCAAACGCCGCGGACACGCCGTCTCGACGTTTTCTTAAAAGCGGTCGGCCGACCGCGACTTACGTATAAGCAATACGGAAAGATATTGGATACACGATATCTTTCCGATATCCTTTTTATCGATCGATTGACCGAAGTGCGCAGGTCGAATTTTTTTCTGGTCACTATTGCCCGTTGTAAAGCGAAGCCGCGCAGTGAAGATCGTCTTACATTTATCCCACTGCCGATCTCTCTCTCTCTCTCTCTCTCTCTCTCTCTCTCTCTCTCTCTTTCTCTCTCTCTCTATCTATCTATCTGTATCTCTCCGTCGTGAAGAAAAGCAAATAAATCGCTGTCTACCGCAAATAAGCGTGATGCAGAACGCGTTGTAAACAGAGCTGCGCTCACGCTAAACGGAGCTCATATTTCTGGCAAAAAAGTGGACCAGCTGTGACTACTAACAGCTTGTTTAGTTCAACATGCCGCCTTTCGCAGTCGACAATATCATCGCACGCAGAACGTTGCGCATTCCCACTCAGGAGCCGCGTCGAAATTGAAAATCATTCACACGCGTTGTCATTCTCCGCGGAAGCAGCGTGCATTCCTCCTGCCGTGCGTGCGAGAAGAAGCGCCGCTGTAGAATGCGCACTCTCATCGTCGCGCCTGGGAAAATAATTTGTAAGGATTGAGCATCTCGGGCGGGAAGTAATAGCGAGACACGCTCAAACGTATATCGATCGCGGACGCGTTACCTCCAGCTCGGAGGTATAAAGCTCTCGCTCAAAGTCGTGCCATCCGATCGAGGTGGAACTGGAGCAACGCCAAGTTACGTTGAGCGAATTTCCAGCGAAAGTAGAGCAACCGACGTACGCGCGACGGTCGCGTCACATTGAATCGTTATGTTTCGACCTGCCATCGCGGCAATTTATCATCGCCTTACGTAACAACCGGGGCACGTTGAATCGAGATAAACCGGGGGCTAATTCTCGGCAGACAGAGAACCGCCGAGGTTTCGCGACCGATTAACAAGAATCGTTAAGTTCCCTTTCGATTGACAAAGAATTACAGCCGGTGACTCATGCTACGCCCCGATCGATGCACGCGTGTATGTGTGTGTGTGTGTGTGTGTGTACACCCACTCTCTTTCGCCTCGCGACACAAAAAGAGCTTCGTCGTCGGCGAGAAGTCGAGTTAGCGCGCTTCGTTTTCGCTGTGCAACGCGAAACGTGTAAACCGCGAAAACGAGATTTGCGCAGGCCAGAAGAGTGGGCTCGTGCTAAATCGAGGTCTCGTTTGATTATAACTGCAGCTCGCGAGCGCGTAAACACGCATCTCGCGTCTCGAAATAGGCTCGATTCTCCGGAATCGGCCGACGGAAACGTTCGAACGGAGCCAGATTAGTTCGTTGATAACATCGATCAGAAATCATTACGCGGGACTTGATATCACACGCGATTCCGGATGAGGCGACGTTAGAGGAGAAGACACGTGTCGTAAAGCGCCGTCGAGCATGGCCGCTTGCGAAACGAGGCGCGACAACAACGAGGTGTCTGTGCGTCTCGCTCTTGATGCTTCCTAATCAGTTCTAATTTCGACGTTAACTGCCTCGCAGCTGAAAAGCGGCGGAGTCAGGCTCGTGAGGGAGTGAGAGATCTCGTCCCTTTACTTGCGTCGCAGGTGAGGCGTCTTCGCCGAAGACTCGATGCGAACGAGAAGTGGCACGGCAGTCGCGCCTGAGCGGAATTATATCGTTAACCTTGGGGAACGTCAGACGCCGATTTATTTCCAATTTTTATAGTTATTTTTGATGTCAAAATATGAAGAAATCTATTAGCATTTTTAGCTTAAATTAATTTTTTCAAGTTTTGCACAAGTAAACTATTTTATACGTGTTTAAAACGATATTTCTTAAAAAATATATATATATATATATATCTGATTTGTTGAAACTTGCACACACATGTCGCCGATTATGAATCAGAACCATTTCGTAACATTCAAAATGGCGGCTCTAATATGGTTGACGTCATTGTTGAAAAAGGGTTCAGTTTTACGCTGCATTCGACGTTGGGTAATCGGCTTTCGGCTCACTATCCAGCAAACAAACTCATTTTAACGTCAGAATCTAGGTAAGAAATGAATAAGAAATGAACAAAAAAGAGTGAACAAAAAACAATTGAAAAAATTAATTCCAGCTAGAAATGACAACAGATTTCTTTATACACGTATCTTGACATTAAAAATAATTATAAAAAATTGGAAACATTGGCGTCTGACTCGAGGTTTCTCGAGGTTAACTTGTAAGCTCTTAGCTATCGCGCGGGATGTTGCACGCTGCAAAACCCCGTTTAATTTGTCCGGACTCGACTCAACTCACGAGATGACGACGCACTTTCAACGAGCGCGAGTTTCAGTGCTCCGTGAAGCTCGAACGAAGCGTCATCTCCGCGTCGTTATCTCTCACCGGTTACCGGCATCGATGCCGTTATCTTTGGTCGTTTATGATGAGTTTGTTATCGCCTAATGATCCGAGCTTTTCTATTTCGTTATCGCTTTCCGCGGAACGCCTGAACGGCTGTAGGTTAATACTCAGACGTCTGTCTGTCGAGCTAAAAAAATCGCGTGGGAGAGGAATCGAGGCGCACTCGCTCGTACGTCACTCGCCGACGTCGACGCGTCGACGCGTGGAAATGCAATTCGCGATGATGAAACGCGTTAGCCGCGACTCAAATTTAATGTCCCGCCAGCCGAGTTCCGCGCTCGGCCGACTCCGTGTCGCCTACGTTAAATTACACGAAGCAATTATGCAACGGAAGCGACTCCGGCGTTCAGTGTGTCATTAGCTGTTTTGTATGCTACTACGTTCTTACCGCGCCGCGCCGGGATGAATCGCGAGGAGCTGCGAGTTTGTTATCTGCTGTTACGCTGATTCGGATTCAGATTCCCGACACGCGGAATTGAAACGCGATCGCTATTATTCGCTAGCTCGAAGCGCAAAATCCTCCACGTCTTCGACGTGATGCGACGGGAGACTCTTCTTTCTCGAGCTTCACTCCATCGATCGGAAGCGATCACCCTCTGTGACGGATTTTTTTACAAACTTCCACGAGGAGAGACAAGCGCGTCCCGGTTCGCAGCTCGAGAAAACTTCGGGAAAGGGCTCGATGCTGTCGAATCGAAACTCGATTTTAGCCTCGCATTTACACTGAAATTAGAAAGCGGCGCCGAGACGGAGACGCGGAGAGTTTGTAAGAATCCACGAAGTAGCCCGATTAACCGGCTGAAATGGCAAAAGTTTCGAAGGGGCGGGGGGAGGAGGGGGACGGGGGAAAGAGGATTTTCATTAAACAGTCTTAAACAATTAAGCCTCGTCGGGAATATGGGTCGCGGCTGTAAACAACGGCAGCTGGGCTGGCCATTAAATATGACACGCTCTTGAACCAACATCGTATAATAGAAGAACGATATGGAGCTACGCCGGGAGCTACTTTGCCAAAGTCGCGGCTTTACTGCTTGTCGGCTTAAAGTAACGCGTTGTATCGTCGCTTTTATAACAACGAAGAGCACCCGGCCGGCGAAATATCAAATTGACGAGCACACGCGCGCCTCGGCTCTCACGATTTGTCGTGACGCATCTCGATCGATCGTACGTCTCATTGTTGCCGGCCGTTGTCTCGCCGTCGCCGGAGGTGACCTCCGACGCGGCGAATTATTACGCAGTTGCGCCGCTAAAATGCGCAAAACGATTTTAACAACGCAATTGTGAGTTACGGCCCGGTCACTCGACGCTGCGCACATTGGGGTCAATGCCAATTGTCGGTGGCAGCTGAAAAGCTCCGTCGGCCGAGTGCGTCGCGTTTGCTACTGCCACACGTTGTCAGGATACACCGAGGTGTATCGTGTATCGTGGTTTTGTTGCGACAAATAAACCCCGCGAGAGACTGATCGTCGCGATCGATCCTGTCGTTGCCTCCCGCGCCTCCTTGCTCACGACGCTGTGCGCGACGCTTGTAAGTTGCGACGCACAGCGCTAATTGAATCGATCTTTATCACGCGCATTCGTTCGGTTAGTTCTCGTTAGTTCACGACGGAGCTGTGCGTATACGCGTGCAATCACCATTCCAAGTACCGGCAGAACGTAACAGTGATCTCTGGCGAGAGATCTTGCCCTACCTACCTACCTCCTCGCTGCCTCAGTTCAGCGAGTCAAACGAATGCTCAATTTCGTGGGCTAGCGGCTAAGGCGGCGAGACAGCTCAAGAGTAGAGGAATGTCAAACGAACTAATAATAAAAGGGTGGCTCACATTCTCGATGCGTAGGCGTGTTAATGTCAAACTATGTCGCACTTCCACTACGCGCGTCTATGCATCAGCACGGGTTGCAAACTACGATCAAATATGCTTGCCAATGGAAGAGCAATACCGAGCCATTACGCGGCCAGTCTCTCCCTCTCTCTCTCTCTCTCTCTCTCTCTCTCTCTCTCTCTCTCTCTCTCTCTCTCTCTCTCTCCTCCCCCCTCTCTCTCTCTCTCTCCCTCTCTCTCTCTCCCCCTTTCTCGCCACAACTTACCCCAACAGAGCAGATTCCTCGGCGGTGGCTGCTGCTGTCGGCATCCTGTTTCTCTCCCTAAAACAAAATCGCCGCGAATAATCACACACGCCCGGTCCTAGCGGCGCGTCGCGCGCGCCTCTACCCCCGTCACAACACACGACAATCGACAACAATGTGAAGAGCCATCGGTAACGATAAGAGAAGCAACGTAGTGCACACATACACATACACGCATACATACATATATATATATATATATATATACATACACGTACGTAACATACATACTCGCTCCGATTCTACCGCGGTCGTTAAGAATCGGCCCCCCTTTGTTCGCCCCCATCGACCGCTCGATTCTCGGCTCGGCCCGATTTCAAGCACACGGCCCATTAGAATGTAAAATTACCATTTTCCACGACCAATTAAACCGAGGAGCCCTCGGACAATTACGCGGCACGGATATCGCGCACTCGAATAAATAGCCGGCTTGTGAAATTAGAGAGCTTCAACCCTGACCGCCAGCGCCAGCGTCGTCTCGCGTTCGTTCCAACGCTAACGTTCGCGTGATCGAGAAATGTGACTTTTGTGTTTCAGTCGAGAATTCGTCTTCGAAACGATTACGGGAATGCATATAGCTTTCGAGACATTTCAGCCGTTTTATTACTCTTGGCTCTTACACATCAGACTACGCGCTACTGTGTGTATCATTTGGTTTCCTGATTGCCGGCTACCGGCCGGCGCGTATGACCGTTGCCGGGTCCCTTGTTCATCGCCGAGAATCGTCTTCGGTCCTTCGAGCCGGTTCCGCAACGCGCGCGCGCTTCCGTTGCGCGCCGCGAAGCGACACGCGCGGTGGCAAGCCAAGCGTTGCAAGGACAAAGGAAGACGGCCGATCGCGTGCGTGCAACACACAGAGAGGGTGTTAATAATAATAACGATGAACCAAGCGGATGACGGTGATGACGACGACGACGACGACGATGATGATTGCAGCCACGCGTAGACAGAAACAAAGGGACGCGAGCGAAGCCGGTGCGTTGTCGGTGCGAGCGTGCGAGGTTTGCGAAGCGTGAAGGGAAGGATTGACTTCTCCGGTGGTGCTAAATATAACGAGACTTACCTTCGCTACGCTTAGATCCCGAATCAGCTTAGGGCTGATCAATAGCCGCGCCCTCAACGTCCGCGATCCTGAGGTCCGTTTGTACTTAAAATTAAACTGCCCTACCCAACGAGAGTCGAAGCGACGCGACGTCGCTTTGTCCACCGTTCGTGCGTTTCCGGCTTCAGGATCAGCGAGCCGAGCAGGTCGACACTTGGTCCTCGCGAGTCGACAAGTCCTACCCGGTCCTCGCGCTCACCAGCGATTGTGCGAGGTTCCAACGAGGCGAGCTCCGTGAGCGAGAAACGCGCTTGATGATCTCCCGCGATTTGTTGCAGTCGCGTGATGCGCAAACCGTTCGCGCAATCATAGATTTCCCCGGGGAGCGTATTTAATGGCGACCGAAGGATCCGCCGGGCAATTTGTACCACGCGCGCGAAATTGCGGCGAATCTTTCGGTGCAATGGCCCAGTTATACGTCGCGGTTGCGTGGTCCAGTTTCCGAAAGCAGTTTAGATCCGCCAGGTATCGCGCTCTCTTTGAGCAGCATCGAAGCGAGCGTTAGTCACGTTGGGTGAGGAGAGTAAATTGCAAGCGCCGGCGACATCGACGCAGCGGTATTTCTCGAATTCTCGCTGGAGACATATCGGCGCTTTCGTTGCTCAAAACACGGCTCTCGATATTCCTCCCGACGGGTTCTCGAAACACGCTTCGACAGCAACAGGCGACCCGCGCGAGAATTTTGACAAGGAGAACCACACCGCCGTGCACCTTTTTTTCCTCCTCAGGGGTCCTCCTCAGGGGAGGTCTCCTCAGAGTCTGTCTGCAAATACTTTCGGTAAATATAAATAGAAGAGGGTACACCTCACCGATTTTTTTCCTTTCTGAAATATGTTATAAAGGATGAAATTCTGAGTGACTTTTCCTAGTACAATTACATGGGGATCGCTTACAGTTTCTGAGATATTTGACTTTGAGGTTTTATAATTGTACGTTGAAGTATATTTGAAGTAGACAAGCAGTTTTCATTCGCTTTAAATGTAGGAAACAGTACATACAAGCGCGAGAGGGGCTCCGCTCCGAACAAATCCTAACCTAACCTAACCTAACTTATTGCATCTTTGTATATTTTTGGACATTGTGGAAAAAAGTTCTCTTAAGATCTATCATCTGGGTCAACTTGACTTATCATAATATCTGCATATAATTAGGTGGTTGTGGCTTTTAAAGAGATCTTGTCAACATCGCCCAACAATATATAAAGATGCAATAAGTTAGGTTAAGTCAGCTTATGACATCTGGAATTAAATTCCAGGATAATCAAAATTCCGAAACTTTAAAATCAGATATCTCGGAAATTATAAGCGATACCCTCATATAGTAGTATCAGAAAGTCACTCAGAATTTCATCCCTTATAACATATCTCAAAATGAAAACAAACCCGGTGAGGTGTATCCCTTTCTATATATTTACCTCTACTTTGAATATACTTCAACGTACAATTATAAAACTTTAAAGTCAAATATCTCGGAAACTACGAGCGATCACCATATAATTGTATTAGGAAAAGTCACTCAGAATTTCACCCTTTATAACATATTTCAAAATGAAAAAAATCGATGAGGTGTAGCCTTTTCTATATATTTGCCATACTTTCCACAGCGCACGCGAGTAGCCGGTGCAACGAAAGCGCTGAAAAGCGCGTAGATCGATCTCCCGCGGCCTGCTGACCGCCACCATAGCCAACAGCCAGAAGCGCTATAATCACATCCCCGGTGTCTTCGACCTCGAAACACGCTCGTCGTCGTCGCTCACGAGCTCTTCAACGACAACCCGCCCCGGCGACCTTACGGCGTCGCTCTCGCATCCGCCTCGCGTCTTTCAGCGCGTCAAGAGCGCAGGAGCGCTTCGAATGGAACAGATAAGAAAAGACGACGAGAGTCGACCTTCGAGGTCGGAGAACAGGTCGACGACAGTACCTCGCGATCGTACCCCCCGACAGACACTCCCCTACCTGCCGATCGGTTTCCCTCCCGTGTAATGTCGGATCAGTATCGCTCAAGAGGTATTACCTGGAGACGATCGAGACGCTCTCGCGGCGGTCCTCGATCAGCGGGTCCTTCTTGCGGATCTCGACCTTGGGCGAGGCGAAGCTAAACGCCTTCTTCACGGACTCGAGGACGCTCTGGCTGGTGGTCTGCGTCTGGTCGACGATGGTCGTGCTTTTGTAGACGTCTTCGCCCAGGTCGCCTAGGGACCTGTACGAAGCGCCAATACCTGCCGGCATGGCGTGACCTTTCGTCGGCCTGCCTGGGTCCGCGATGTCGCCTGCCTCACTGGACGACGACCTAGTCGTCGACCGTCGAGCTGCTCGTGCCGGATGACGCTGTCCACCGCCCAGGTGGATGCCCTCTCGGCGAAGACTCGCCTCGAAGGCGACCGGAGCTGAGGCGTTGCCGTTGCCGTTGATGGTGATAGGAGGCGTGCCCGAAGCCGATATGCCAATATCGCACGTCAACAAGGCAAACGAACGGCAAAGGAACAAAAGAAAGAGAAAACAAAGGTAAGGGGTTCCTGTGTGTGTGACAGCGATCGCTCGCAGCGCGATCCGAGGCATCGGCGCGGCGGCGGCCGTTCGATGGCCGAGCGGGAAAAGCGCGCAGCTCGCCGACGACGCTGCGCCGGGGTCGGCCTTCGCGTCCGCTGTGTTTCTCGCCTCTCTCTCTCTCTCTCTCTCTCTCTCTCTCTCTCTCTCTCTCTCTCTCTCTCTCTCTCTCTCTCTCTCTCTCTCTGTCTTTCTCTCTCTCTCTCTCTCTCTCCCCGCTGCCCTTCGATCTCGATCGTGAACGCCATTGCCGATGCCTCGTGAAATCGCCCTCGCTCAAATGTGAGGAGTAAATCGAGTGATGCGTGTCAAGGTGGTGTATGATCCGCCGACATGCACAAGATCCATCGGCTTCGTCGTACAACGAGCGAATCATGCATATGGCGGCATGCCAATCGCGTCAGGTGTTTAGTTATGCGTCTATGTGAGAAACACGCCGATCAACAGGAAACGTGCGAACAAGAAACAGTAATCACTGGCCTGTGTGGCGTTTCCTTCTAGTCTGAACTATCGTTAACAAGGCAAGTGAAGCGCGCGTGCGAGAGTCAACTGATAAGGTAGAAATCAAACACGGTGCTTTCCGGGGAAGCTCTCTCTCTCTCTCTCTCTCTCTCTCTCTCTCTCTCTCTCTCTCTCTCTCTCTCTCGCTCTCTCGCTCGCTCGCTCGCTCGCTCTCTGTCTCTCCTCCCGGCGAAACGTGTCTGACGCGGGACGTGACGCAAACTCAGTGCGAAAAATAGATGGATGCATGCAGAAGAAGAAGAAGAAGAAGAAGAAGAAGAAGAAAGAAAAAGAAGAAGAAGAAGAAGAAGTTTGCTCGATAAACACATCGGCACATGTACGGGTTCGCTCGCGATCGACTTGGTCACTTGGTCGATCCGTCGTTCAATAAAGAGGGCGCGCTTCTGGCTTTTTTCGGCCACCGATAGTGGCCTGATAAGCGCGTCTGATTCACGCGCCAAGAATGCCTCTCGATGCACGTGTAATCGCCGAATAACGCCGTCCGACGAACCGTGATCCGAAAGGATGACCGGTTCACGCGCTGGGCTCACTGCAAACCAGAGTGTGTTATTTTGACGCGTATAAGCTGAAGCTTCCTCTACGCTTCTTATTTTGTCTTGTCTTAAATCACGCTATTTAACGCGTTCAAGAGAACTGGAGGGTCAGATTGAAAAGTCTGAAAAATCGTGCTTGTTTTTTGATAACATTTTGTGACGAACTGAATAAATATGCAAGAATGAAAATTTTTGATACATTTATATAACATATGAAGAGTGGAAAAATTTTGTTTATTAACAAATATTTATATAAATATATGTCCACTTAAATTTTAAACGCGTTTCTCTCGAAATTTTATTGTTCAGCTTCTTGCAGTGATTTCTCCGAGACTGAGCTTCGTATCGATTTGAAATTTTAAAGCAATAATATTTGTTCATCTGGCTCTCGGGTGAACCATGGACAACTCCGTCAAAATATTTCATTGCGGGATATTAAATTTTTTATTGTAAAAGAACTGAAAAATTTGAATTTTTTCCTAATAATAGCTGCCTGCCATTTTGTTAATTTTGTTCGATTTTTTTTTACAGTGCTTCGCCGGATAATGATAAGCCTCCTTAAGATTTCTAGCTAAAATTCGCTCTGATCGGACCACCGAGAGCCGAGGTATTATTGCAAAAACGACAACTTGAAAAACAAAAAAAAAAGAGAATATATTTCAGCTATATATCTCGTATATTTATATGAGTATTTGTTAATGAACAAAATTTTTCTCCTCTTCACACGTTGTACAAATATACCTAAAATTTTCATTCTCGCACACTTATTCAGTTCGTCGCAAAATATTGTCGAAAAACAAGCATGATTTTTCAGCAATCTGATCCTCCGGTCCCCTCAAACGCGCGTTAAGTGATACATCGAAATGCATCAAATGACGTGATTTCGGACGACAAGAGACGCGTGAAGAAAGCTTCAGCTTTTCAAAGCGTGTCAAAATAACACACTCGGGTTTGCAGTGCTTACGCCCTCGAAAGTTTCGCCAGCCGCCGGCCGATCACTTTCTCGGCGGGAGGCCGAGAAAAACTTCCGAGCACGCGGACGTGTCGCGCGCACGATCAGTCGTGGATCGGCGCCGGCGAAAACGGAGCGGTAATCCAGTGGAGAGAATCCGCAGAGCGGACTCCCCGAATGTATCCCCGACGAGCTCTCCGCGGCTGCCTGCGAGCTGGATCAGCGCGCTCGCACGGCTGGCTCGCTTGCGACGTCGGCCTCGCATCCGGTGGACGGGAAATCGATCCGACCAGGAGGACCTTCCCGGCGATACGTATGCCGTCCCCCTCCCCTCCCCCCTCCCGCCCCGCCGCGTATCGCCGATACGGGGCACACGCGGTGATCGCCAATTCGCCGATGGACTTCCGCGCGCGTGTTGTAAGCGGCGTCCCCGCAAGGGAGTCGCGTATTGATTTTTCGCGTGGATACTCGCGTGTAACGTCGGGGTTAACCCCGTTTCTCGACGTCTAATTTTTCGCCCGACATCGGCCGACCCGACGTCACACAACAGAGGCTCGTCCTCCGGCTGATCTACGATACGAGAACGTTTTCAGCGACACGGCGACACGGCGCAGGCGACGCCGCAGGCGGAATGTACTCGCGACCGGCAGATCGAGACCCACGAGACGCGCGATAAGGCTCGCGATTATCGAGGTTACGCGCGGTCGATTGTCCGCTATGCAAGACGTCTTTATTAATACCGAGGGTGTACGGCTCCTAGGAACAGAGCTGCTCGTAGTACACGTTGCATCTGAGGGTACACATACCCGGGACGTATTTACGCCATTGTTCGCGAATCGAAGTGGTAATCTCTGTGTAACTACAGCGGGATAATTGAGTTTTCCCGTCTCGGGTACCCGGTAACGCTTCTGACTCGACAGATCTCAATTTGGCTGCGGTGATTGCACGAAAATTGCATGAACCTCCGGCTACGGCCTCTCTCAGACTGTCACGTCGCGCCCATCGAGGCGCTACATCTCTAGTTTGAAAAAAGCGAGCGCGTTAATTTGGTAGCTGAGGGCTGGGAGGGGGTTGTCAAATTGCCGAGCCGCTTCTCTCCGCGTCATTTATTATACGCTCCAACGTGTGACAAAGTACGCGCGAAGATGAGGCTACACATTACGTGCACGCGTTCTTAGGCAGGAGAATTTCTACGTTGCGCCACTTTACGCTCCATTTTAGCGCGATATTTTCCATCAAAGTGGCTGACATAAAGTCAGCTTTCAAGTCAAAGCCAGGTTTAATGCACGCCTTTGAAAGTAAAGACAAGATTGTCGGTTCAATGGGAAATCTTATCGCGCGTGACAGTCTATTTTTCTCTCTCTCTCTCTCTCTCTTTTTCGTATCTCTCGTGACTATTTTTTTCCATCACCAACTCGTACAGCATCGATCCAGCGCGCTTCGACCGTCATATGACCGCCGTCGAAGCAGCTGCTGGCTGCTACGTCCCCGATCAGATAGCGGCTAAGGAAACTGGCGGTCGTTACAGCGGGAATCGGGATGGGTGGAAGGTGGCTCGCTTTTGCTCAGTGCGCTCTTCAGAAGGGACACGAAGATTCTGAAGAACGAGCACGCGATCAAAGTGCACGAAGAAACTGGTCTCTCTCGTTGGTCCCTAGCACTCATCGTTCCGCGTCGACGAAACGTCACATTGAAACGTTGAAACTCGGTTCTAAGTAAGAATTTGAAAGATCGTCAGAGCCCTTGAGAGATCGTTAGAGCCACCGATAATAATTGATTCGTCAAAGTTCCCTCGAAACGTTATGTAAGCCGCTTCGGGGGGCCGCAGCTGCGAGGTTCCCAGAAACTTCGGCAACGGGAACGATGCCGTTTGCATGCATCATTCAGGCGACGACATCTTCGAGCATAGACGCGATCGTGAATCCTGAAATTTCCTGAAAAAAGCGCGGGAGAGGAAAGCGCAGGAGGAGACAAGTGGCGAGGATCGACCGCTATAAATCACGGTTCGCGCGACAGAGCGCGCGCGCGCCAGCGAGCTGCTCGTAGCTCGTGATCGAGGATCCTAACCCGCGACTGGCATTGACGTGCAGTAACCCTTATTCCACGACGTCTTACTTCATTCGGGGAACGATCGATCGCCCGGCATAACCCCGTTTCCCGATAGCCAACCGTTCTCTCGCGCCCTGACAAGCTGATGCTTCGTCGCCGAGGAGGCGACGAGGATCGCGCTGTCGCGAGATGACTCGTTTGCTCTCGAGACATCGGTGATGTTGCGATCGATCTGGCGCACCAGGTCCGACCTTCGGTCGCAGCACGCCACATGACTCAATTGCGTCGTCATCTATCGTCGTCACTGATCACGGTGCGTCGCCGGAGAACTTCCGTCGTCGCCGTCGCCGTCGCCGTCGCCGTCGTCGTCGTCGACGATGATAACGAGATCTGCGCGCGTGCACATCGCGGCTTACCAACATGATAACCCGCGGAGCGCACTCACATGAACGTCCATACAGAGGACGTATCACAGACAGATAGACAGATAGACAAAACAGACATACAGACAGAAGGACGAACGGACAGACGGACAGACAGATAGACAGACAGACAGATAGACAGACAGACAGACAGACAGACAGACAGACAGACAGATGGACAGACGGACGAACGGACGGCTGGATCGATAGGTCGAAGTGGTCGAGAGATTTCTGAGAAGGGATGGTTCGATGACGAAGGCGGACAAAGGGCAGGTGGGTGTAGGCGGGCAAGGATAGAGGGAAAGAGAAAGAAAGAAAGAAAGAGAGAGAGAGAGAGAGAGAGGGAGAGAGAGAGAGAGAGAGAGAGAGAAAGAGAGGGAGAGGTCTAGGACTCACCTCTGCGTTCTGCGCGGGTCCCGCTGCGGGCTACGTGAACCGAAGAAGAGTTGCAGCTTCCACGCGGTCTTTAAACGCGATTAGCACGACGACGGGGCCCCGACGGGATCGTGAGTGCTCGGCGATCGGTTGAGCGAGCGGTCGCGCCTCTCCTCCTCGTAGGGAAACGAGAGAGTCTCGCGTGACTCGGATCGATCGCGCGTGTCGTACGCGACGATGACAGCTGAATCGCGGCCCGATCGTCTCTTCCCGATAACGCGTCGGTCTCTCTTCTCGAGAACGTTACGTTACGTTACGCTACGTGACGACGTGACGTGCAAAGACGGAGCACCGCGACGAGACTGACGTTAAGGAGCGCACAGTGTGTTCCCAACGACGTTGCACGATCACCATTGGCTCGAGTGCACGGCTCCGACTACGGCCTGGTCAATGGGAATGCGCGCTGCTTTGTGCGCGGTGCACACTGGATCGAACCGGTTACGGATAGACTGCCGACATCTGGTCATGGACACTTGTACCCTGCCTGCCTGCCTGTCACCTACGTGGAGAATTGCCCGCTGGGGCTGCACACAGCAGAGGGCGACCTTGGCAGTTCAGTCGGTCATTTACCGAGGGAACTTCAAAGGCGGTCTTCTGGTAACAGTGGCGCCCGGACTCGAAGAAGAGACGGCGCGAAGCGAAGCGAAGACCAGCTTCGTGTTTGCTCGTGGGGTCACACCGACGCTGCAGGAAGCCGTGATATCAGACTGCTGCGGCGCGAGTGTCTACGCGAGGCAGAAGGTGGAATTGCTGTGACTCTCTGCGCGTTGTGGTCTGCAGGTTTGAATGTCGAAGGCCGCGAGTCTTGGGCCTTGCCGCACGCCAAGGGGTGGACGCGCACCCTTGCTTGCGGGCGAGAGACGACGACTATAGGCTATAGAGACTCTCGCTGTAGCACGACTTGTATCGATTCATGCTGATGTTGACGCGTATGAAATGCACTCGTCTTGTCTGTTTGGTTCTTCGACGTCGACGTGTGTGTCTGTTGATTTTTAACACTTTGACTATGCTTGAGTCTTCAGCAGCGGCACGCGAAACGCCTGGCGCGAGAATTTTCCGGAGCTGCAGGCAGCTCAACGTGAATACGGCCGAGGGAATTTGCATGTTTCCTACCCGGCGTGTTAGCACTTAAGCACTTAATATACGCTTAATATTATGTAAGCGGGATTGACAGACGCGAGGAATGCGCGTAGGAATAAAAGAATGCGCGCCTTTGCTTGCGCATTTAATCGTGAAAGAGCAGTCGCGTCTTCGTGCATGCGAAACATCTGTTCGACACCTCGCAATTACCTCGCGACGTCAAGCGCAATTCAGAAATTCAATTGCATTCCCGAGCACCACGTTCCATCGCCTACCCTCGTCCAGACCTTTTGATTGGCTCCCGTTTACTCTGTTCCTCAGATTAGCCCGCAAGAGCCCGGGGATCCTGTCTAAGCGACTGTCTCTCGTAATCGAGCCGGGCTGAGTAGCAGAAGAATGGAACAACGAACCGGAAGTGCTCTCAAGAGGGTTTAAGAGGCGCTACGTTTTATGGAATTCAGTCGGAGGCGAGCGAGCGCGCGCACAGCAGAGAGAGAGAGAGAGAGAGAGAGAGAGAGAGAGAGAGAGAGAGAGTGAGAACGAGGAGGGGCGGGGGGAGAAAGAGAGATTAAATGCGAGGCAGACGAAGGCTGCGATGAGATCTCCGCGAATGGAATCGGTGCTCCGGAATTGCTCTAGAAACGTACGGAGCCGAGGAGAGAGAGAGAGAGAGAGAGAGAGAGAGAGAGAGAGAGAGAGAGAGAGAGAGAGAGAGAGAGGGATTTAAAATCGCGAACCTCTCTATTATCTCGGGGCCCTCCTTGACGACACCGCGGAGTAAACGAGGACGTCTTCCGCTACGTCCATCCCGGCAACTGGATAATCCGCTTCGTGGATTACCGTGGCGGGGCTGCCTTATTTATGTCCGGTTAAAAGGATCCTAACACACACTGAGCGTAGCATCGCGCGATAATTCAAAGAGATGACCGCCGTACGTCATCCTGCCACCATTGGCATTACCGAAAAATTGTAACAGATTTGCGTAGACGTTTTTACGACGAGCTCCTTGGAAATGTCTCTTGATATGTTTTCCTCCTTCGTTCCTTCGCAGCGAACCAAGTTCCCGCGTTCGTTATTCGAGCGTAATAATCAACATCGCTGGAAAATCCTATCGATATATTCGCACGAGGAGCGCAAGGAGGCACGAAGGATATAGGAAGAGGGCGCGAGATATCCAGAAAGACGCACGTCGCATCTGTCTTGTATCCGTTTATGAATTCCATTGATGCGACACGACACACACTTTGAACTGTCGTCCCGCCTGCTTCCACTCGCAACCACCGCTTTCGAGCGCCGCTTCTTACCTTCGGAATCCTCTCTGCAGGGTGATGTATATTTTCCCGAGTATATTTATCATAAAAATGTATATTTATGTATATTTCTGCCACTCCCCCGCCGCTCGGTTATGTAATACATACACATATTGTTACCGCACGTCACCCCCCCCCCTCCCCGCGGGCGTTACCCTCACCGTCGGACTCGCCGCGTATGTATATACGCAAAGGGTGCTTTATAATACGCGCGGAACGTAGCGGACATATTTCCCCTGTATACTCCCCCTTGCTGGTATGCGGTATTCCTTCGCGACAGAAGGGAGCGGGTCCTTTGTAGAAAAAAACTCGTCGGGGGCGGTATTTAGTCTGTCAACCGCCGTGACGAATCGCCGCAAGGAGGGTCGGCTTTAGAGCTATATGGGATATCCGGTTATGCTTCGTGATAAAATTTAAATGCGCTTAGAACGAAATGTGTGTTACACATTCCATACTTGTATCACTCGAGCGATATGATATGATGTAATCACGAGTACATCCGAGTCGAAAGTTTCGCTCCGCACTGACCCTGCGAGTCCCATCTTGAACTTGAAGAACCAGTGGAGAATCTCGAGGTGTAACAAGCGGCTATTCTACTTCGACATTATGGATAGTTACTTATTTAGTTTCTCCATGTTTTTAGACTTGAAAGAGGATCTGCTAAGACCCAAAGAGTAATCTTTTGAATTTTGTGCTATATAAATATTTTTAGAAGATAAAATATTTCTAAAAATATTTAATATATGTAGGATATTTCATTTTAAGTGAGCCAGACAAAAATTTCGAAAAATATATAAAGATACTAAGAAACGTTTTAGATAAAAGTTGTATGGTTTTAAAGGGGACACAAAACAACTATAGCATTTTGTTTACAGATGGCGTCACTTTGAAGAGTAATGATCAGTGAATATCTCGAAAGTGGCGCCATCTGTAAACAAAATGATATAGTTGTTTTATGCTTTTTTGAAACCATACAACTTTTGACTGAAACGTTTCTTAATATCTTTTATATTTTTCGAGATTTTTGCCTGGCTCATTTAAAATGGAACACCCTGTATATTTAATATTTAATTGTCTCGAAACGTTGACACGTTAAAAATGAAACTTATAGTTCAAGGAACATTATTAACGGTTCTGTAGATTCAAAATTTCGACTCAATATCCTTTTACTCTTGATAACTTTGTCAAACGTTCGTTAAATCGGAAATCTTTGACGCAATAAACGATTTGATATATATATATATATAGTATTATAATATACGATATATTGCCCGCGTCTCAGTAATCTTGTATCCTGGCTTTACATATCTTGGCCTTTAGAATTCTGCTCAGTTGTGACATTAACACTCACGTAGATATAATTCAATCCAAGAAAACACACGTATTAAATAACGAGATTCCAACGACAACCTGATTAGATATTAAGAGCCGAAAGAATTGCGATTAACGCGCACTTCACAGCAGATCGAAACGCAATTAGTTACTATTATTGCCAATTAGAGAAAGACGACGCATGAGAACTAAATTTTATTAAATTTAACCATATCTCTCCCCTCCCCCCCCCTCTCTCTCTCTCTCTCTCTCTCTCTCTCTCTCTTCTCTGTCTCGAATGTTCGGAATGTTTTGTTGACGTTACGATCTTCCAGCCGTCGAATGTACACATCACTGTTCTTGAGCGGCGACGGCGATGAGTGATTGGAGGAGGAATTTCTGTTGTTTCTGCTGTATGTTTAGTAGCCTCGTGCGTTGCGTACTTTCCCCTTCTCTCAGTCATTACGATTCGAGTCGGCGAGCGACGCACATATACCGCGACGTGTACTGACACGTTATCATTCCCGCCGGATCTTGAAATATTTAATACAACTCTCGTCAGTATCGCGTTAATTAACACACGTTTCGATCGAGTCGTATCTAGTCGTGAGTGTTAGTGACAGTGCCACGAGGGAGTGTCGGCAAAGCTACATCGGAGCAGCCGGGAGCCAAGATGCTGGATGGGAGAGTCAGGATTTCAGCGAAGCAAGCAACGATAACGAGCATCATACATTTCTAGGTACCAAATTATTGATAAACGCCAAATTATTTATAAATGAAACTTCCGATTTTGATGAACGTTTGACGAACTTGTCGAAAACAAGGAGATTACCTGAGTCGAAATTACAAATCTTGTGAGTCTTACAAGAGTAGTTGCGTGTGTCTCTAATAGTAATAACAATCTCTTTGAATCTCACATATCTTTCATCTTGATTTTATCAACATCTAATTTTCGATGTCTTCCATTTAGATGTTTATCGTTATTACGGTATTATTTTGTATCGATTCGATTGTATCTAAATTCACAAAAATTCAATCTCTTCAATCTCTAACGATATACAGCATTATTGAGCACACAAATGCTATTCTTTTTTTTTTGCAATTTCATTTCAGGTACCTATTTTGGATCTCCAAGACTTGCTGAAATCTTCAATAAATAAAAAAATATGAGAAAACGTTTATAAAGACTATAAACTATTATTATCCATTTACCCATTCCTATCAAATTATTTAATCAGATTATTTAATATTTTCTTATCGCACATATTCTATCTGCAATCAAGCAAGATACATAAATAACACATACATTACATGTTAAAGTAAAATTATATAAATTACATACAGATTATATTATACAAAATACAAATTTTTTATATGGAAATACAAAGAAGTCTAATGTGCATTATAAAATAAAATGAAGAAAAAATGAGGATTAAACACTGGTAGAATATATTGAGGTAATTAAATATTAAACAATTTTTGAATATTTTAAGCTCCAATATGGAGATAATTGGGGTGAGTAAATATGTAACATTGAATTGTATGATGTTACATTTTGAAAATTTCTATTTTTATTCAATTTATTTTTGTATTACAAGCAGAATATATTAGAACCGTACTTTCGACTCTGGTACATAAGTACAGAAGATATCTGAATATAAGAAGATAGATTTTCAATC